CCCCTTCTTCTCTTCTTACACTAGAGCACACACTCTACGGATAGTGAAAGTCAAGGTAACCAGAGAAGGGATGACTTTGAGGGACTTTCGAAAGATCGATGGAACGATCTGCCCTCTGGCGTGAAGTTGAGCAAGGTCCAAAATTATTTTGAGAAATTTAACGGGGTGCTCCAGTTTTAATATTTACTCGCAGACGCCTCGAGGATAGTCCGATATCATAATTTATAAAAGTGTTATAAACGTATCGAGGTTGATGGTATAAGGGATGCCTCGCCTCGAAATTCGAATTCTTAATGGAAAACCGATAGCTTGCTGTGGCGGCGTGAGGAGGGGGAGGAGGAGGGTTCGTCGATAGGAATGTGAAAAATGAAGAAAGATATACGTTTCTGGAATGACCTTGTCTCACGACTTTGATTAAAGATGTATTATTACTTTTTCGGGGTAAAACGCGATCGACGCGACAATTGATATTTAATCGGAGGTCAAACTCGTAGAGGATAGATTGGCTTCCAAGTACTTTGTTAAAGGGAGAAGAGAATACCAGAAAATGCAATTATGACGTTACTGGCTGTATAATTAGTACGGAGGGCGCAATTATCAGAGCGAAGTTGCTCGAGGAACTCGATTACGTTAGAAAATTCTATCGTTTCCTCGTTCATGCAATTTAAATTCCGTTTACTCACCGAACGCGAAACGCTCAAGGAACGGCTGCCATTCAAATCCTTCCCTATATTTCAATGTCACTCAATAAGTCGTTTACAGGAGTTCTGCACTTTTCAGGTTAATAGTTTTTCCTTTTTTCAATAGAGCTTCACAGACTACACTTTGTTTAATGAATCTCAAATGATCCTGATTTGTACGTGTCTGTTGAAACTTTTATTTGACTGTTTCAGGAATTTAACGTCGCCAAAGAGCAGCACGCCGTACAGCCATCTTCGATTATCGGCGAACCTGGTAACTGTTAACGAAATGAATATCTTGAATGATCTGAGTCATTGGTTTAAGTGTACTTACCTTATTGAATTCTTTTTAGGGTCTGGATTGCCGCATCAGAGTCGCAGCTATCCTGGAGGAGGCGGAGGTGGTACCGGAAGTGGCGGTGGTGGCGGACGTGTATTGGCAAGAAATCCTTCGGTCAGTTCCCAGAGTTCTCTGGAAGGTGCATCAAGCCCATCTGTTCATCGAGGTTCCTCGCCACAAATCCGAGCCTATGGACCGGATGGGCGTCATCGTCACCATGACCCACTTCACGCTGCCTCCTCGTATCCTCCTAGCAGAAGCTCCAGGTAAGCCTATGATATTTTTGAACTTGGTAAAATATTTGTTGTTTCTTACAAGAATGGAATTGTCAATTGGTCCTGTGGAAAAAGGGCTAAGTCATTTTGTTTCTTCTTTTAGATCACCATCGCCGGCCAGGGCGGCATCTCTCGATGCTCGATCCGGAAGTCCTGGAAGTATCCACAGTGGAGCTCTGAGTGGCACTGCCTCGCCTTCCCAAAGCTCTTTGGCTTCATTGACAACAGTTGCCAGCTCTTCCTGTGGCTCAGCTGCAGTCAGTGGTCTACCTACCGGTAGAGCTGGTGCACGATGTCTTTCACCTTTACTCATACCTCCACCTAGAACCTCCGTGAGGTACATTCAATTCTTTACATTGCTTAGCCAGAGCAATCTGTTTCAAAAATCGAAAAATCAATTAATTTTCAACAGCGATGGTGGATTTGCACTACCTGCTTCTCCACTTGGATCACTACAGCCTGATCTCTATCCTCGAAGAGATGGACCATTGTTCCTCAGTGCCCGCAGGTTAATTCCTTGTTTATTTGGACGAAATTTTGATACGTTTCATTAGACCGACTATCTACTAAATAATTGAAACTGTAATAGGTCGGGAAAGAGCTTGGGCCGACTACATTTACGACTTACCTATGACTTTGATCGATCCGATCTTGATGTTCATCTGATTGAAGCACATGATCTAGCTGGAAGTGATCAGGGTGGCTTCAACGATCCCTACGTCAAGTTGACTCTCAGTCCTGAAGTTGATTCACGGAAACGACAGACACAAATTCACCGTAATAACCCCAATCCCTTTTTCGATCAACATTTTAAATTTCCTGTCAGCCATGAAGAACTACAAGACAAAACCCTAGTTTTACAGGTAAACAGAGTCTAATTTTTTTTTTAATTTCTCATGATAAATTCCTTTTAAAATTTTATCTAGGTATTTGATTACGATCGCTTTTCGAGGAACGACGTGGTGGGCTCTGTAAGGGTGGCTATGGACGAGCTCGAGTTAGTATCTTCATCGTCATCGGTAGAAGTTTGGGGCGAAATAGCACGGGAAAAGAAACCACCAGAAGAGATGCAAGAAGTCTTGCTCTCGTTGTCCTACCTACCTAGTGCTGAAAGACTAACAGTAGTCATGCTCAAAGCCAGAAATTTATTTCCACCTCAGGTATTCAGAAAGACCAAATTAAAGAATCCTTACTTTTATTTAATTAGCAAAATCCTTAGTAAGCTTTTTTTTTCTTAACTTACATAGGATAAAGAGACCCTGGATCCATTCGTAAAGGTATACCTACTCTCAGGGGACAAAAGAGTCAAGAAAAAGAAAACCGCTGTCAGAAAGGCTACCAGAAATCCTGTCTGGAACGAAGCCCTTTCATTTAATGTTCCAGCATCAGCATTGGCGACCTCTGCCATTGAAGTAATTTATTTCCTACCTGTAATACAATAACCAACAATCATTGGGTCATATAATACTATCATTCATTGTTTTCGTAGGTATGCATCCTAGACTCGAGTAGCGAGTTGATCGGTGGCAACGCTATCGTCGGGTCCTGTATCGTTGGACCAGGTTCAGGACCAGGATCAGGATCAACAGCAGAATCTGCAAGCAGCCAGGGCCGAGATCACTGGCTTCACGTGACACACGCACCAAGAAAGGCTATAGCCATGTGGCATGCCTTACACTAGTACCTTAAACGATCAGTGTACCAGGAAAAAATGGAGTCATGTCCAATTGACAATTTATCAGAGACATCAAGCAACATTAAACGACCTCAAGTTCTCTACGCTGCACATCATTTCGTCCAATAAATCCAACAGGAAAGTGTACTAGAGTCGACTATGAAATAGAAAAAATAAATAGAACCGACACAACGAAGTAATTCGGACAGAGTATAGCTAGACTATAGAACATCTTATCACTGGATAAGAGCACTCGCTTAATGCATCAAAGTTATATCACACAATAACAAACAAAAAATTCCTCTTGAAAGACAGCTAGAATAATAATTTCCAGGACCGAAGTGTCATTCCGAAGAATCACGAAGTCTCGAATGAGAAACAATAATCAATGCCTATAAAAAAAAAAAGAGGACAAAGTATATTATTACATTTAATAATATATATTGGATCATGTATAAATGATCACTGCCTGATACGAAAAGTTTTTAAGCATTATCATTGGCGATTTCTCATATAACAATTGATTATACCTATATTGGCCATCGCATTTATGGAAAAAGTTTAGTTGCTCAACTTTGTTTCCTGTTACGAAGCACAACTACCCCGTATTGTATAATTACTCCGTAATATTTTTAATTTTCAGTCGAAATACCTGCTTAGGCTAATACGCTCAGAAAATGTCTTTTATTATTATTATACACTCAGCTCGTTGCACAAGTACCATGAAACGTATACACCAATATGCCCCGAAAGTTACTGATAAACAAGTAAATGAAGTTGCGTTCAAAGATACGGCCTAGAGGACACAAATTTCTAATCAAATAAGAAGTGGAATTTATCTGAACAAAAAGAAAAAAAAAATATTTGTACGAATCAAGAGTCTACAGTACAGACTGTTGTACTAAGTAATCTTTACTCGACCCAGGTATAATACACGAAGAGAAAGAATTGTGAATGAAAAGTAAAAATAATTGATGATTTTCCAAAGGATTCGTAAAATTATCCTATATCTATTATATTCTACATCTAAGCGATACGCATGAATTACGCGAATTGCTCGTTATGTATGCTCTTAACTACGTGATGTGTAAATTTTAATTATTTATGAATATTTATGGAGATAAGACAAAAAAATGGTACTGCTATTTATCCCATCCGAAGAATTAAGAGATGTTCGATCGAGATACGTATAAATAATATTGACACTTTATCGTAAGATAAGCTTATCTCTTCAGACTTAAGGATTAACTGGAAGCAAGCGTTCATTTTTGTGTGTCTTTGATTATATATATATATAAACTCGTTAAGAACATATTTATAGATAAAATGGACATCGCTCCTGTGGTATGTCTTACAAGATTTAAGTCTGATTTTTAAATACCGTAGAGAACAAGTGAAAAAACCTTCCGACCAAACCTCGTCATATCATATCGAAGTCATAATTTCGATTCTAATGGTTAAGCCCTTATAAATTCTTGCGAGTTTTTTTCGTTTTCAATCCAGTTAAGAATTCTGCCTTTTTAACGATTCGTTCGAATCGTCATGATGTTATCAAAAAAGTTGACTCCACGTATACAGTATGGTATATACACATACCTTAGTGTATAATTATACTTAATATGTATACATTATATATATATATGTATACACTGCACATATATATATGTACACATTAAAATTTAAATATTAAAATAGCAGATTGCAGAGAAAATAAATACAAAATTTCATGTGACACATTTCAAATGTCAAATCGAATGAAAAATATTTGCAGATCGAAATAAGATGACGCATCGAAGATTTTTAATGGAAATAGTGAAACCCAAATTGATTTATTAATAAAAATTTATTATACAATTTGAATAATAACAGAAGGGGAAAGTATAACCGTCTTCGTTTGCTTAGTTCATTTTAAATTATAGTTCATTCGCGCATTTACTAAGTCATTCTTAACGTTCCGAATAAACTCTGTGACTCTGTGACACTCTGTGATTTTATTTTTATTTTCCGAGTATCGTGAATATACCGGGTATATCAAAATATTAACTATCATTGTTAATGCATTGGTAGAACTTTTGGTCTACCCTGTATACGAATATTATAATATTAATGCCTGTAAAACGGTTATACAGAGTCTATTGAATGTATCCAGTTTGTCTGTTTGTTCATTGGGGATCTAAATTAAATGTGGTCGTTGTTATGTGCGTGAGTTATGATAAAGAATATAATGATACGCAATGAACGTGGTGAAACGGGGGGGGA